CATTATTCAGATTAATAATCAAAGAGCTTAAGAGCTCTGAGGGAAAAGACGGCGATTGTTTCTATTTTTTGGGATATCTTTTGATAGTCTTCATACAAAAAATGAGCAAAAGAACAGCTAGAACATGTAGAAAGGTTGACAATATTGAAATTAATAGTTGTTTAATGTAATTTCATTTCTTTAGTCAAGAATTCATCCTGGAGTCAATTTGGACCAATGGAAGAGATCGGCACCTTCTAAATCAAAATATTTGATTAAAGTTGAAATTTAATTATATAAAATTCAATTGAATTCTATCATTTAATAACTTCTACAATATATTTTAATTTTTGTGTGTACCACTGAACTGCAGCCTAGGGTTATTCTCCATTTTTTGTGACAGTGCTCTAAGATTTTTAATTGATTACAACTTTCTCAAGAAAGAGAGGACTGAAAAGTCTAATCAGTTTTAAATTTCCATTGATAAAGTTCCCAGTTAAAACTCTCATCACAGGGATACATGTACTTACAAAAATCAATCAGATTGATATAAGCTGTGTGCAGCTTGTTTCAAGATCATACATTTTGATATATGCAAATTTCATGAATAAATATGTTTAAACTACAAAAAGCAACATTTGAAAATTTTATAATTTTTATACAATTATGCTGGTACACAAAATTTTGTTTAAATGGAAGACTACTTATCATATAAATGTCACATTTTAAGTGTTCAGATACATAAACTTTTATTTTGGATATGTTACTCTTCAATTGAGGTGCTCCTGTATTAGAGGAAGATTCTGAATACAGTTACAGAAAGAATAAAAACTGTCGTTTCTCTCCCCAATCTCATGTATCCCCATTGTTTACCGCGAAAGTTGACCTACAAATTAAAGCATTGTTGTTGGAATCATCTACAGCAAACATAATTATGTTTAAATAAATAAATACCGATTTTAAAATCGAATACGATTTTTGTGAATGATTTTAATAATGAGTAAAGGATATCCCTTCTTCTACGTAGTGTGGAATTCTAACCATGATGTCACTAGGTTGGATATATTTAGAATATTTCGTAATACTGATTATCCAGATTATAAAAGAAACGTAAATAGTGTAAGGGAGAGCTCAAAATACGATAATTTCACGACAAACAGAAGGGAAATGTGTAAAAAAATGTTTAGAGTCAATTAATCTGTTCATTTGTGTGTCTCCTTCTCATCAATTCAGTATGAAGTTTTGAGGTGTTTTCCCAACTATAAAAACAAAATGATTGACGTGAGAAGCTTGGAAGTCTGGCCAACCAAATGGGAAATTGATGGCTTGAAGCCGTCTTTCCCCAAAAAAATTTCAATAATTTCTATATTTGCCAAACCATGAAGCACACACAACCTCCCTAAAAGCTCAGGAATAGTTAGGAAAGGATTGTTTTGTGACTTGAAACTCTTAATCAATTTATCATTGGATAACCATACAATTGTTTTTAAGCTATAATGAGATTCAGCATGAACTATAATTTTGTCTTTGTAATATTTACCATTTTCAGGCTGGGTCCTCATACAAGTTATGTTCCCTTTGATGTACTGCCAAGCTTTAGCCCTGTCAAGCATGATTGGTTTTCTTGTCATCTGAAAAAAATATGCTAAAATTCAAATTTCAAGCCTTGGGAGCTTAAAATTGTTTAAATAAAACATATCATTGTGTCATTTGTTCTGAATAAATAGCGGAATAATTTTTTATTTCAAAAATAAGGTCATTTTGGGTTGTCAGAAATTTTGTCTTGCAACAAGAAATCTAGTTCCATCCAGAGTTGATAAATAAGATCTTTTATATAATGAAGAGGGTACTCTTCAGCTATGGCATCTAATTAAATGTCCATATTCCAACAAAATAGTGAACACTTCCAAAAATTGTTAAAATTTGACTACTGATCATGTGATTATTGCTGCTAAAATTTGTGTCCTTTCACTAACTTTAGTGATGGTTAACTTTGTTGAATTCATTCACTATTTTAAGACTTGGGTGATAAAGAGCTTGCAATGAGATTTTGTTGCATCTTCATTTGCTGAATGCTGGTAACTTTGTCAGAATATATTATAGTAAATAAGAATGATATCTATACTACTTAAATAACGAGGTCCAATTTGTTAGCTGGCATGACGTAAAAACAATGAATCAAAGAATTCAACTTTATATATAACTAATATAGGACAATGGTGTTGTTTAAAAATTACACCATTCTAGGCCCTTTTGTTTTTCACATAATTAATATTACCATTTTATACCTATATGGAGTTATTTCCTTTCAGAACAACAGGTCATTCTTTTAAAGAAACAACTTGTATGATACCAAGTTTCAATGAAATGTGCTTCAAGGCATAAAATAATGACCTGCATTAGGTCATTATTAATCTTGATTAAAATGCAAAATACAGAGTACTTAATCATTTAATTCGTGTGTTGTTGTCAATAGTGGTTTTACTGTACAATTTTCTATCTTGAGCATTTATTTAGGTATAAACAATCTTTTCCTCCGTTTATTATGCTGAAATAAATACCATGTACTCTATTAAATGACAAAATATTCCTATTTTAGATACAGGAACAGCCACGTTCTTAAAAAAGAAGGAGAGTATAATATTTGATCCTTGAAAAAAAATGTATTCTAGGCATAAAAGAGAAAATAATTATTCTGAAAAGTTTGTTAAAAATTGTTGAAAAAATAATCTGCTTTTCCATTATAAAATTGTCGTGAAACAAGAGAAAATAAACTGCTTCGCTAAGCGCAGCTGCATACGCCCGCAGAGGTCCAACCCTGAACAGTTGGGGCAAAAATGGACACAATATTCAAGCTTGATACAGGTCTGAATTTGGATTGTAATTAAATATTTGACATATTAAAGGTTTCTGAATAAATGTAGTCAAAGAACTTTGAATTTGGTTATATGAATTGAATTTATATTCAATTAAAGATTTTTTTGCTGTTGTGCAATACACTGTGCTGTTGCGCAATACTAAGTAAATCTGTTGTCAGACTATAAACAAATAAAGTTCAATTTCTTCTCAATGTCATATTTGAAATTTATGAAAATCAATAGGGAGATTACATCAATAGCTATAAATAATTCACCAAAGTTTCATGAGAACTGATGAAAGCATTTTTGAGTTATTGTCGAAAAACTGGAAAATCCCCCCTTTTTTAATGAATAAAACCCTATAACTCAGAAATGTAAAATCTAAAATTTATAAAATTCTAAAGGGAGCTTACATCAACAAATATAAACAATTCACCAAAGTTTCATGAGAACTGATGAAAGCATTTTTTAGTTATTGTCAGAAAAATGGAAAATCCCCCCTTTTTTAAGAATAAAACCCTGTAACTCGGAAACGTAAAATCTAAAACTCATAAAATTTGAAAGGGAGCTCATGTCAATAGATATAAACAATTCACCAAAATTTCTTGCAAGTTGGTGAAAGCATTCTTGAGTTATTGTCGGAAAACTGGAAAATCCCCCCTTTTTTAATGAATAAAACCCCAAAACTCAGAAACGGTAAATCTGAAATTTATAAAAAACGAAAGGGAGCTCACGTCAATAGATATAAACAATTCACCAAAGTTTCATGCATATTGGTTAAAGCGTTTTTGAGTTAATGTCCGACATGTTGACGACGGACGGACAGACAGACAAACGGACGGACAGACGGACGGACGGACAGACGGAGGGACAGACGGTCAACGGTATACCATAATACGTCCCGTAAACGGGCGTATAAAAATATAGAAATATGGACAACATTTCAATACCACAATTAATTTTGGTTAATTAGTTGAAAAAATTAATTTAGTTTATAGCAAGTTTTTTTGTAGTAAGAAAACCAGGACAGGTTCAAACAGAAAGATTTTGAAAGCAGAGAAAACTGTGCACCTTACAAACAGCATGACTTTATCAGATGACAATATGAATATTAAACATCAGGGCTTCCAAAAAATATTTGAGCTAGCCGGACATTTTTGTGTGTGTCTTATCCTGATTTTAATCCCTTAAGACTGAGTAACAAAAGGCAACCATAGTAATCAGTTGGGCATCATATAAATTATGATTGACACAAAAACGGTATTTGACTTGATTATTAATATAAAAGACTCTTTATTTGTGCAAAATTACGCTGTCACTAACTTCACTTTCGTTTTTAAAAAGTACATTTTCCTAATACCCGATATTGACTTGACAATGCCAGTAACACACAGACAGATACGTAAAACCCGTGTACGTTGACAAAGCACGATTGACAAAAATAATTGAGTTTAAGTAGCTCATTCCTTGTTATTTCTAAAGGAAAATACTTAAAAAGAACGTTAGATAAAGGTATCAATGATATTTTTAGCATTTTTGAAAATTTGGATGCATAATTAAATCTCACACCTGCGCACATGCGCACGAGTGTACAAGTTCAAACAATGTGGTTCTGACGATTTTTCACTTAAAACCTTAATACTATCTTTTTAAATTTTCATCAAATCATATTTAAATACGTTTTCTGGTATTCTGAATCTTGTTGACTAAATTGATTAGATGTAAACCGCTGAAATTTAAGGAAATAACTTTTGATAGACAATGTCTGATACAAAATATTTACCTGTCGCCTGAACAGGTAAAATCAGCTGTCAGAGAACTAATTAATTAACCTTGATTGTAATGAGAGGGTATTAAAGTAGGGTTTGTTTTGATAGTAATTATTCATCATGCCACTTATAAGACCAGAAATGTGTGGCTGTTTAAGGCAAAAAGTCAGGTCAAAAAGATTGCATAAACTTCATTTTTTTTCTGAACTATGTTAAAATGTCCGTATCAGCCTTGGCACATAAGTCATTTATATAATTTATCGGACTTGTCCGGAAAATACGACTGTTTTGGAAGCCCTGCTAAATATCCAGGCTAAAAATAAGGCATAGGTACTTTAATTCAGTCACGGACCTGCCGGTGTGTTCTAGTACAATATAAGTTTCTGACCTTGGTTACATGGATTGTTGATTCTTCTAATCCAAGCATTGGTTTAGTGACTGCATCTCTTTCAAACCTTCTTGTCAGATATGATAGAGTTCCTTTACTAATGGCTTTCATCTCAGGAAATTCTATAATATATGGGACATTTTTCCATAACTCTATATATCTTGAAGAAAATATCTTACTGCAATTGGATCATATTAAGCGGCAAAGAATATTTGATTCAAGTAGGTTTTTTTTTAAACAATGAGACAGCTTTAAGTTCAATACATACCCATGGAACTGAATTCATTGGCTGCTTTAATTTTCCTCATTCCATGCAAGGCATCAAACCTGAGAAAAAAAAAATCAGTTTTTCATAGTATTCAAAATAAAAGATTGTCCACTCCAATATTATAAAACAAAAGTTTAATGATAGATTCATCAATTCCTTCAGTATTTTTGTAAAGACAACCAACACTTATGGGCAAATCCAGAATTTTCATTTAGGGACTTAATGAAGACCATAGACGTTAATGTTGATGTCCACAAAATTGCCTTGGATAGTCAAATTTATTTAAGGAATGACTGTAATATTTTTTCTGTCTATGAAGAAATAACATCAAAAATGTAATGCACACTGAATTGCGGGTTATTTTAAAGTGTGCACCACATTTATTATGTTATTTCAAATAGACAGAAAAAATATTACAGTCATTTCTTATAATTTAATTCTAAATTCCATTTTAAACCGTAGTAAACCATGAAAAACCTTGATGACGTCACAGTCACATGACAAAATTATGTCTATGAGATGATAAACAAAACAACGTCAGCCAATCAGAAGACACTTTACATCCAAAATTAAATTATTCATAAATATTTTTCTCATATAAAAGGTGTATACACGACCACCACCTCCCTTATTAATCTGAGTCTACCATATATGTGAGTAAACATTATTTTTCACAATTCCCCCCCCCCCCCCCCCCCCCCCCCCATACTTTTTTTTTTAAACCATGCCCTCTCTGTTTTCATTTTTTTGAAAATGGTACAACTATCTTTTAACCAGCAATTTTATATTCTACCAAGAGAACTGTAGTTAAAAAAAATAATCAAACATATCTAAAATTGTCATTATACTAATATACTAAATACTGTTAATTCAGAGAATTTTGAGATTTATTTATTGCAAAATTTGTGACAGGATACAATAAAGGTGTCGCAAAAATAATTAGAGGCTCTAAAGAGCCTGTCGCTCACCTTGATCTATGTGTATATTCAATAAAGGACACTCTCCGACATTGTAGACAAGAATATAATTCATTACAAAAATCTCTGTTTTGTTGATCTTGTATTGCTGATCATTAAGTCCATCTAGATTTTCTCTATCTTCATTAGTTTTTGCTCAAAACACAAAAGAGGTTAAAAAATTCACATTTAAGGGCAATCACTCCTATAAAGAGTGGCAGACAGCCTACTTACTATATCAGCAAAATTTGACTTGTTAGTAGAAATTGCCTTGCTGATTATTTTTGTGATTTAAAGGGTCTATTTATCTATTATAATTTTAATCATATAAGGCAAAACGCTAAAAAATGGTGAAAATCGTCAATAAAGGGCAATCAATAACTCCAATAAGGAGTCATCAGACGATTTCCTACTTATTGTCTAAACTGTAGAACTTGTCTTGCTGATCATTTTTGCTTATTTAGTTTCTATCTATCTATTATAATTTTTAAGATATAAGGCAAAAACTCAAAAAAATTTGGTAAAAATTGTCATCAAAGGGCAATAACTCTAATAAGGAGTCGACTGACAGTTTCGACCATGTACACTTATTTGTAGAACTTGTTTGTCTGATCATTTTTGCAATTTAAAGTTTCTCCTTATCTAATATACTTTTCAAGATAATAGGCAAAAATAAGAACAAAAATAAAATTTCGCATTTAAGGGCAATAAGAAGTTGTCTGACAGTTTTAATGCCTATGAACAATTGGTAGAGCTCAACATTCTGAACATTTTTGCCTATGTCAGATTTTCTGTATTTGTATGCATTTTACCCCTATGTTCTATTTTTAGCCCTGTTGGCCATCTTGGTTGGCAGGCAGGGTCATCAGACACACTTTTTAAACTAGATACCCCAATGATGATTGTGGCCAAGTTTGGTTAACATCGGACGACTGACGCCAAGTGATGAGAAAAGCTCACATTTTAAATTTAAATAGCGTTATATGTTCGCAGCATTTCCTGAAATTCCAATAACTAATCTTGCTCTTGTGCCAATTGTGTAACAATTCTTATAATAAATGCATGCAAAAATTTTCACAAATTTCAGTACAGGCTTTGATTTAAATTAAAGTACTTACCTTGCAGAGGGTCTAGTAGGTGATATGAAATCTTCTTCTATTAAGACACTGTGTATAACTTCAAGGTCTTTATGGTAATGCATCACCTATAACAAGAAATTCCTTTTCTAAAACCTGTTAAGGACTTTTGGACACTGCTGATGTTACCCTGATGCTTTACAATACTGGCTGGTTATTTGGTCCTTCCTCAATGTTAAGGGACTTTTGGACAATGCTGAGTTTACCCTGATGCTATACAATGCTGGTTGGTTATTTAGTCCCTCCTCAATGTTTTTTCATTTAATGTTATGTTGTAACTAGAGGCTCATGTTGCTCACCTATATCTTAAACATTAAAGGGCAGTAACTCTATTAAGAGTTAACTGACAATTTCAGTCATGTTGACATATTTGTAGATCTTATCCTTTTAATAATTTTTCCTTTTTAAAGTTTCTATTTATCTATTGTAGTTTTCAAGATAATAGAGGCAAAAAATGCATAAAAATGTAAAAAAGTTATCATCAAAGGGCAATAACTCCAATAAGGAGTCGACTGAAGATTTCAGCCATTATGGCTTATTCATAGATTTTGTCTTATTGATCATTTGAGCAATTTAAAGTTTCTGTCTATCTATTACAGTTTTCAAGATGATAGGTAAAAATGGGAAAAAAGGAAATTGTTCAAAGGACAATAACATCAATAAGTAGTCGACTAATGATTTTGGTTATGTTGACTTGTTTGTTGATCTTGTCTTGCTTATCATTTTTCCTTTTAAAAGTTCTCTATCTATCTATTACAGTTTTTAAGATATTAGGCAAAAACAGATTAAATTGGTAAAAAATCATTAAAGAGCAATAACTCTTATAAAGTCAACTGAAGATTTCAGCTATGTTGACTTACTTGTAGATCCTGTCGTGCTGATCTTTTTTGCTTTTTTTTATGAGATTCTGTCTATCTATTATGGTTTTTAAGATATTAGGCAATAACGCAACAAATTGGTAAAAATCTTCATTAAAGAGCAATAACTCTAATAAGGAGTCGTCTGATGATTTTGGTAATGTTGACTTATTTGAAGATATTGCTGATTTTGCTTATCATTTTTGCTTGAAAAGTTTTTGTCTATCTATTATAATATTCGAGATAAAAGGTAAACATTTTTAAAAATGGTAAAATTCATCATTTAAGGGCAAAACTCCTATAAGAAGTCTGACTGCTTAGGTGTGAGTGAACAATAGGTGGAGCTCAACATTCTGAACATTTTAGCCCATATAAGATTTTTTCTATTTATGGCGGTTTTCGAAATAATAGGCAAAACTTGCATTTTACCCCTCTGTTCTATTTTTAACCATGTCAGCCATTTTGGTTGAGAGGCGGGATCATCAGACAAATATTTAAACGAGATAAAATACATTAGTATTGTTTATCCAAGACAAACCCTTGCTATAGTTGAAAATAAACAACTACTTCGGGTTGGTTACAGCTATCCAACTGACATTATCAGCAGTTTCTAACTCTAAATTCTTTTCAGTTTTTTAAAAATTGCTGTTTAAGCAAAGCTCTTTCCTGAACTTAAAATGCCTCTAAAGATGACTTTCCCTTTTCTACTTATCTAAATTTTTCTTAGTATATAATATGTACCATACATGTATTATGTTTTGGCCTAAGCTTAAAATACGATTTTATCAGTACGAAAATATCACTCACCTTTTGGTATTTTCCACCAGCGTTTTTAACCAGTGGTTCGTGTCGTACTTTAGTGAACTGCAGTCCAGTACTTGTCTGTTTAACAGTGTATGTGGCATTATGAGGTCCTATAAAGAAAAAATAACAGCATCAGAATAATCAAAGCGCGTAAGCGCTGTAAAGGCAGTTAATTACAGGTTGTGTGTATTTTTAGTCCAGTTATATCATTATCTTGCATAGTACATTGTACTTATCAGAGGTGGCTTTCAGTATTTAAGATTTAGAGTTCTCTAATGATGTTGAACAAGTTTTATGAATGTCATATTCTGAGCACTATATGAAGGTGATTGTTCTCACTTGTTTATGAACTAGTGCATTATGTCCAGTTTGTACCTTTTTTATCTATGTTTATAGTCAAATACTGTTTAAATTAGTTTGGCATTTTCTTTTTAGTAATAAGTAAATGTTATCAACTGTATTTTATTCAACTTTGCAAATGTGGTTTGTTACTGGTAAGTACAATGTATGGATGATAGTTGTTTCATTGGCAATCATAACACATCTCCTTATTTATATAATGATCTATATTCAACGACCTCAGGTACAAAAAAAATGTATGTAACTAAACTATGATGGGAAACCTTTGACTTCTTTCTTTTATATAAACTTTTGATTTGGTACCATAGAACTATGTAGAATAAATGTACATTGCAACATGTCAACTCTTTCAATGACAATACTTTTTTTAGAAACTATAACTCCAAGCAAAATTATATTTCCAAGTATAAAGTAATTTATGAATGAAACAAGAGTGCACACGCTGAAATGTCTCGCCTTTTTACTAATCATTGATATTATGTTGATAGTCCTAAATATAAAGCTTTATTACAACTGTCACATAAAAATAACACTAACCAAGTAAACTAAACATTGACCAATGAACCAAGAAAATGAGGTCAAGGTCAGATGAACCATGCTAGGCAGGCATGTACAGCTAACAATTCTTCCATACAACAAATATAGTTGAAGAAAAACAGACCAAAACACAAAAACTTAAAACTGAGCAATGAACCTTGAAAATGAGGTCAAGGTAAAAAAAAAAACTGCGTAACTGACAAATAGATCATAAAATATTTCCATACACCAAATATAGTTGAACTATTGCATATAGTATTAGAGAAAAAGACCAAAACTCAAAAACTTAACTTTGACCACTGAACCATGAAAATAAGGTCAAGGTCAGATGACACCTGCCAGCTAGACATGTACACCTTACAATCATTCCATACACCAAATATAGTAGACCTATTGCTTACAGTATAAGAAAAACAGACCAAAACACAAAAACTTAACTATAACCACTGAACCATGAAAATGAGGTCAAGGTCAGATGACACCTGCCAGTTGGACATGTACACCTTACAGTCCTTCCATACACTGAATATACTAGACCTATTGCTTATAGTATCTGAGATATGGACTTGACCACGAAAACTTAACCTTGTTCACTGATCCATGAAATGAGGTCGAGGTCAAGTGAAAACTGTCTGACAGGCATGAGGACCTTGCAAGGTATGCACATACCAAATATAGTTATCCTTTTACTTATAATAAGAGAGAATTTAACATTACAAAAAATCTTACTTTTTTATCTTATTTTTCAAATAGTCACTGAACCATGAAAATGAGGTCAAGGACATTGGACATGTGACTGACGAAAATTTCTTAACATGAGGCATCCATATACAAAGTATGAAGCATCCAGACCTTCCACCTTCTAAAATATAAAGCTTTTAAGAAGTTAGCTAATGCCGCCGCCAGATCACTATCCCTATGTCGAGCTTTCTGCAACAAAAGTCGCAGGCTCGACAAAAAGGAGTTCTTAATTAAGAAATAAACTGATTGGCTGAGCGCAGCTGGATACACCCGCAGAGGTCCAACCCTGAACAGTTGGGGCAAAAATGGACACAATATTCAAGCTTGATACAGGTCTGAATTTGGATTGTAATTAAATATTTGACATATTATAGTTTCTGAATAAATGTAGTCAAAGAACTTGAAATCGGTTATATGAATTGAATTTATATTCAATTAAAGATTTCTTGCTGTTGTGCAATACACTGTGCTGTTGCACAATACTTAATAAATCTGTTGCCAGACTATAAACAAATAAAGTTCAATTTCTTCTCAATGTCATATTTGAAATTTATGAAAATCAATAGGGAGATTACATCAATAGCTATAAATAATTCACCAAATTTTCATGCGAACTGCTTAAAGCATTTTTGAGTTGTTGTCCAAAAACTGGAAAATCCCCCCTTTTTTAATGAATAAAACCCCATAACTCAGAAATGTAAAATCTAAAATTTATAAAATTCTAAAGGGAGCTTACGGATTGATGATTTAGTCTTAGATGCAAGATTTTTTTATCAGTTGTTAGTGGCTTTGAACTAGCTGTCAGTAAATGCGAGTACTCTCAGATCTGTACTTAAGTGTCTTTTTGTTGTTTGGATGTACAACTACCCGGCCACGTCCACTTGTATTTGTATTTATCCATCTGATGAGTTAAGCCTCTTTCAACTGATTTTTATAGTTCGTTCTTATATTGTACTGTTACACCACTGTCCCAGGTTAGGGGGTGGGTTGGGATCCCGCTAACATGTTTAACCCTGCCACATTCTGTACGTACATGTATGTGCCTGTCCCAAGTCAGGAGCCTGTAATTCAGTGGTTGTCGTTTGTTTATGTGTTGCATATTTGTTATTAGTTCATTTTTTTTACATAAATTAGGCCATTAGTTTTCTTGTTTGAATTGTTTTACATTGTCATTTCAGGGCCTTTTATAGCTCACTGTGCGGTATGTGCGTTGCTCATTGTTGAAGGCCGTACTGTGACCTATAGCTGTTAATTTCTGTGTCATTTGGTCTCATTGGCAATCATACCACATCTTCTTTTTTATATTTACACGAACAGATATAAACAATTCACCTAAGTCAAGGTGAAAAAAAAAAAACTTAGTTATAAGATCTCTGAAATTTTTTACACGGTACAAGTTGTTCTAATTGTTGGAGATTGTACGGTGACAGTAACACCTGTAACTGCTTAACCCATTTCTTATGCACTTTGGTTCGACAAACTCACTGAATATCATACCACATCTCCTTATTTTTATATGCATTTCAATTTACATGTGCATGTAATTGTAAATAATATTTATATATGTAGGACTCTAAAGTGCGATGGGGACGCTAAAACGCGATGGTTGCGCTAAAGTGCGATGGCCTACGCTAAAGTGTGATGGTTTGATAAACTAAAGTGCGATGGTTTGTGCTATTTAATGGAACACGCTAAAGTCCGATGCCGCGATACGCTAAAGTGCGTTTTTTTCGCAAAAGTGCGTTTGCAACGTTAAATAGCATTATGACGC